AAAGCAAGAGAGGAAAAGCAAGCATGACAAAAATCACCCCAACCTGTGGAGAAGACCACAGACCCTTGATGTTCTGGCAGTAGTTGTATTAGCAAGCAGCAGACAAAGATTTCTCCATGAAGGGGCCTGCAGTAGGGCAAGATTGCCCAAGGGGGTCCAAGGCCCATTTGGAAAAGGAATCCTGAATCTAAACAAGCTGGCATCCCAACAAATGCAGCAGAAGACATGGTCACAGGGCACCAAAACTGCTAGAAAACTGTTAAAGTATCAGGTACAAAGTTGTTCTTCAACAGGTTTATTTAAGACCATATCATGGAATGGTGCAATGCATTTGGGGGTACAGGAAAATCCCCAGCTCAAAGGCAATAGGCGTACACAAGCCAGCCAATCATATACATGATCGCTCTCTGATACATGACTAATACTCCTTCTTTCTAAACTACACCTTGCAGTTTCTGGTCCCAATCACAGTCATCAAACATCTATTCCTCTTTTTGATTCTTGCCAGGTTCACTGTCATGCTTCTTTAACCTTTACTGGAAAACAACACACTTTTACAGGCTCAGAGGTCACATTAAAAGAACTTAGTAAGAAATACATTTATATCAGGCCTAGCATAGAGTTTAGTTTAGTTATTGATATACTGATCAGATAGATTAATTTTTGTTCTCACAAAAATGAGAAATCACTCTGTTCCTTAACTGTTTATGAAAATGTATGTGTTACTCCTACTTTTTCCACCTGTTCACTTCTGGTCAAAAATAGTCTAAATAAATCATTTTATCATTTTAAATTTCTTTCGGCTTTATCTATATTTCATATGCATCATTATTAAATTGTGCAATGCTCTGATACAGTTAAAGAAGAAAAACTGTTTCCACTAAGGCCATGTTTGCAATGTATGTAAATAATGCTTAACTATATGCTTCTTGATAACTTGTAGGTTGGAGTAAAGTTATGTTGGGTTTCTTTCGTACACAGAAACAAGCAACTTGGAGTATTGCATAATCCAGGCTTATGATCCAAGCCATGATCCAGGTTTAAAAGGAAGGGACTTCAAAATGCCAGATGCAGGGGAAGGGCATCAGGAGACAGGTATCTTGTTGCCTCGTGTGCTCCCAGAGTAGGGTTGCCAGATACATTGGTACCAAAAGGAGGACATAGAAAGACAAAAAGGAGGACAAAGGAGGACATATTGAATGTTTCATTTGAATCATTCCAGATTAAACTCGCAATCAATACAGTTTTATTACAATTGCTGCCAATAAACGAATCTTAGTGAACTGACCAAGAAACAGTCATGTTAAAAAATTAAAATAAATTCAATGGAGGCTTTTTTCAAAATACCAAAGAACATTAAACAGCTAATTATACAATTATTATCTTTTAATTTTTATTAATTACACAACCTATTTCTCAGAGGAGCCAACTTTTTGCAGAAGATCTTCAATAGCAATCACATATGCATAAAACTGTCCACAAGTAATATTCTTCAAATTGTACTTTGTGAGAATGATGCCTTTTACAGAGTCAACTAAGAGTCTGTTCCTTTCCTTTGTCCACTGAGCATTAATCAAGGAGTACACTCTTTACACATTGCCATTGTGTCCAGGAATACAGAAGAATAATTCACAAAATTTAAGTAACTCTGAAAGGCAACTTGCATTTGGGCAACTATGGAAAAATAAACTCCACTGTTTATGCAAGAGTCTTTCAAAAACAGTTCATTTTTGTCTTGCACAAATGATTTAAGATTGCAGTATTGGTCAAACAACTGCACATCATCCACAATAATATCCTTCTCTTTCAGGCACGATATGCATGCCCGAAGGTCATCAAATGTTCAGTCTTTGATTTTATTTAAGTACATCTAACCAAAGCACTGAAATTCATCAAAAGGTTTCATCCACTTTTCTAAGTAACTAATGCATGCTTCATGCAGCATCCAGCATCTGCCATAAAACTATTATATTTTTCTTCTTGACCACTTTCCTTAAGTCTTCTCAACATCTCCCTGACTTTTAGTGAAATAAATGTCTCCTTTAGTCTGCCTTTCAAAACTTCCAAGGTATCCCTTCCTCCCTAAATTTTCTACAATCTTACCTTTAAACAAGCTCTATGAAGCCACCAGTCACTCCCTCACACCTTTCTTCCCTCCTTAACTGAAGTTTTCCCTCCTGCTCTCAGTCACTTCTGGTGGAAGCAGTCATTGACTGCCCCAGGCTTTGTTGTACAGCTGTAACCAATCAAGCCGGCTTATATCCGGTCTCTAAAAGAACGGAGGATTTACAACTGCGGAGGATTTACAAGTGCCTTACAAGTGCCGCAACCAAGGAAGGAGGGAGAGGTGGTTTACATTTTAAGGTTTGGCTGCAGGGGATGAGGGTGAAGATAGAAAAGCCCGGCATTTTAAAGCTTTTTAGCTTTGCCTGCCGGACAGAGGACTTTAGCTTGAAAAGGAGGACATGTCCTCCTTTTGCCAGACATCTGGCAACCCTATCCCAGAGGAATCTGGTTGGGCTACTGTGAGATACAGGAATCTGGACTGGATGGGTTAACCCAGCAGGGCTATTCTTATGGTCATATAAATGGATATGAGTACACCCCTCCCAGTTAAAATCATTTCTACACAGTAGTATATAAAAATATGAAGTGCTTGTTATTATGCTATTTTTTTTTCAAAAGATAATGAGAATTTACTTCATAGGGAGTTAAGTATCTGTGGGGAGCTGCCAAGAGTGAAATAGTGCATTGTCAGAAGTCATCTGACAGATTATCTGTGTGCCTATTGCTAGACAGAATGTGGAGAACCGCTTTCACTGAGATACCAGCTCTCATTTCAAGGCTGGCAAAATGACTCACAAAACCCTGTTGGTTGGTACATTTGTATAATACTTGGAGACAGAGAGTCTGCCATGTTAACGTTATGGGAAAATATGTCATTTGAAGCAGAGTGAACCATGGAAATGGTCTGGAACTCGCTGCTTGAGTTCCTCCTGGATGTCTGGCAAAATTACAGCAATGCAGCCGATGCAGCACCCCTTTCCATAATTTTCATCTCCTTGAAGACCTGTAGGCTTTTTTTACTTGTTATGTTAGCTTTGTTGCATGTTTGAGAAGCTTTTAAGCTACTTTATTTGTACTTCCCTGCACATGATTGCAATCACTCTGCATTTCACAATTAACTTTGATGATGATGATACTATACTAATGCACCTAAACTGCAGTCTGCTTTCCTAGGCATGTACTTCATTTAGAGGCATAATTTAGAGGTAAGTGTAAAAAGGCTTGTGTATGGTATTGGCTCACTGCCATGGCCTTTTGTGATTGCAAAAATAAGGCTGCAATGCTAATGCACCTACCCTGTTTCTCAAAAAATAAGCCCTAGTAGGATTTTTCAGGATGCTCGTAACATAAGCCCCACCCCAAAAATAAGCCCCGGTTAAGTGAAACCCCGCCCTCCACCCTTGTGCAGCAACCAGAAGAAGATGACAGGACTGTATTTGAATAAATGTAGATGGTTGTACATGGGGAAAAAGCCATCCCCGGAAAATAAGCCCTACTGCATTTTTGGAGCAAAAATTAATATAACACCCTGTCTTATTTTTGGGGAAACACGATACTTGAGAGGAAATCCCGTCAAACCCTTGGGGTTTATGGCTGAATAGATGGATTAGGATTGCGCTATTAAGATCACATCATAACTGACTGCCAGCAGTAATGTGTAGAAGTCCTTTGTAAGAGTTTTTCTGATCAAGGCAAGTTATCCAGTGAAAAATTAGGATGTATTCCAGCTACAGTACTATATGCTGCCATTGCAATAAAGAGTGCTTGGCACCTGCAATAGTAAGTACCGGTACTTATAATGTGGCTTATTTGCTTTGAGCATTAATAACTGTATACTTATTTGAAAGAAAATATGCATAAATTTCAGTAGAAATTCAGTGTCTCCAAAGGAGTGAGCTGAGTATTGAAGTTTCTGTCCTTGATAATGGCTGAAATCCTGCTGCTTGGTGTACTAAACTGCACTACAGTGGGGCTATTAAATCAGTGTGAATTTGGTGAGTCAACCGCTTCATAAGTTCCTTTGATTCAAATGAGCCTACTCTAATTGTGACTCACTGTAATGTAATAAGTTGGAACTAGAGTAGGTCCATTTGAATCAATGGAATTTATGGAGGATTTGACTCACCAAATCTTCACTAATTCAATGGGCCTATTCTAGAGCTATCCTGTTTCCCGGAAAATAAGATAGGGTCTTATATTAATTTTTGCTCCAAAAATGCATTAGGGCTTATTTTCAGGGGATGTTTTATTTTTTTCATGTACAATCTATGTTTACTCAAATACAGTCATGTCATCTTCTTCTGGTTGCTGCACATTGGTGGAGGGCAGGCTTTCACTTAACTAGGGCTTATTTTTGGGTTAGGGCTAATATTACAAGCATCCTGAAAAATCATTTTGTTGTTGTTTAGTCATTTAGTCATGTCCAACTCTTCGTGACTCTGTGGACCAGAGCACGCCAGGCCCTCCTTTCTTCAACTGCCTCCCGGAGTTGGGTCAAATTCATGATGGTAGCTTCGACGATACTGTCCATCCACCTTGTCCTGTGTCGTCCCCTTCTCCTCTTGCCTTCACACTTTCCCAAAATCAGGGTTTTTTCCAAGGAGTCTTCTCTTCTCATGAGATGGCCAAAGTATTGGAGCCTCAGCTTCAGAATCTCTCCTTCCAGTGAGCACTCAGGGTTGATTTCCTTCAAAGAAAAATCATACTAGGCCTTATTTTCAGGTTCGGTCTTATTTTCAGGGAAACAGGGTACTTACTATAATAAGCAACAGGATTCTAGTCAAGAGTTTTTCCCCCTGCACATATATAGAAAAATAATATGCTTACCAGTTTAGAATTTAAACTAATGAAATGTGTTAGAGATTTCTTGTTCGTGAAAATCAGCTATACTGCTCTGAACATAATCAAATGAAAGCATAAATTTATCTTTGCAGGTCCTCAATCATCTCCATAAAAAGTTGAGAAATATATCAAAGAAGTCAGAAGCATCCAAGAAAAAGGTAAAGAGCATTTCTTCAACCAGTGTCTATACTGAGATAATAGATTTATTAGGCCAACCAAAATGTCCCCAAAATAATATGCAGGTGAAAGCTAGTCTATAAATAGAGTTGCAGTAGCATGCAACACTTCATCTGGCAAGATGGCTAACAAAAAGTGAGGGGCAGGAAAGAAATGTCTGACATTGAAATGATGGAAACTGCATCATCCTTTTACAAAAATGGAAGGTGGGAGGAAGCAACAGACAACAGCAGGGTTGACAAGTCAGAGGTAGCAGACATTCAAATTGGAAAGTGCTGTAGAAAGTGCTCTGATGGCCTCAGGTTGCATCTAGGACTGTATAGAAGAAGAAACAAAGCCATACTTAATCTCCAATAGATTACAGTGGTGCCTCGATTTACAAATTTAATTGGTTCCAGATCTCCGGTTGTAACTCTAAATGATTGTAAGTCGAAGCACCATTTCTCATAGGAATGCATTGAAATGCAATTAATCTGTTCTGGCTGAAGAAAAAAATCACTAAAAAAAAACCCACAACCCACTGCAAGACCAATCAGAAAAGTGATTAATCCATTCCGGCCGAAGGAAAAAAAAGCAAACAAACCATGCAAGACCCTTTGGAAATGCAAAAAAAGCAAAGCAGAAAGCAAACAAACCATGCAAGACCCTTTGGAAATGCAAAAAAGTAAAGCAAAAAGCAAACAAACCATGCAAGACCCTTCGGAAATGCAAAAAAAGCAAAGCAAAAAGCAAACAAATCGTGCAAGACCCATCAGAAACACGATTACTCCGTTCCAGCCAAAGGGGGGGGGGAGAAAGAAAAGCACACAAAATGTGCAAGACCCTTCAGAAATGCAAAAAAAAGCAAAGCAGAAAGCAAACAAACCCCGTAAGACCGATTGGAAATGGAACCCCCCCCCAAAAAAACACAAGCAAACCCGCAAGACCCACCACAGCATGGAAACATAATGCCACCACCCAGCCAAAAACCATGCTGCAAAACTCACCCAGAAGAGTTTTTAAAAAGTAGAAAGCAGCACCTTACCTTACCAGGCAGTCCGAAGCCTCCTCCGATCACACACTCTCTAACTGTTGGGATAAAGGAGTTACAAAGAAGCAGCCTCTTTGCCACCAATGCTTAGCAATTTGAATTCCCCGCCTTTTTTCCCTGCCTTTTTCTGATTGTAACTCAAAGTTCCGGTCGCAAGTAGAAGCAAAATTTTGTGGCTGGAGCTGGTCGTAACTCGAAATGGTCGTATGTCGGGATGTTCATACGTTGGGGCACCACTATGTATATATCTCTGGAAGGCAGAACCAGAGACAAACTACACATCTTTTTAATTAACAAAGATGATGATAATTCTCAGTGGGGTATTAGGTAAAAATCCAAACATTAAATTAATGATATAGTCATTTATGACATATACTAACATCCGTCAAGAACCAGCAGAAATTTTAATATTAAATAATTAAACATTAATATTTTGCAAAATACCAAGGGAAGGATTAAGGATTATTAAAATATTAAATATTTTAGACCTCTTTCCTATAAATTTTTATGATTATTTAAAGCACAAATATCGGGTATTTTATTTATTCTAACAAAGTAATGCAGAGCAATGATACTGCAGTCAAAGAATTTGAAGAAACTGATGATCTTTCCCTGTTTAAACATCCCAGTAGCCCCCTTATTTTAGGAGTACATTGGCTTCTGCATAAGTTCTGTGCCTAATCACTTGTACTGCCAGTTCAGAGAGTCTGTTTTCAGGTACTTTTGTGGCACTGGATCATTAATTTTCTCCTTGAAATAGCAGGCTGAGGTAGTTACTAATGAGCAAAACTACTCTTAAAGCCTCTTATGATTCCACTTCAAGTAGCAGACTGACATGCTTACTCATAAGATTTTGTTATTTACTCATGGCAAAGCCTGGAAAAAAGCCGATTTGGGAGAATTCATTCAGGATGCATTTCTAATGTCTTATTAGTGATGTTCATGCAGTTAATGTTTTGTGGAATTATATTTCATGTAGTTTTATTTTTAAGCAGAATCCTTAAGATTGACTACAGAAAATATACAAGAATAGCCTAATATGTAAAAACATGAGCCCAAATCCTATTATTGATGCCCACTGTTTTAAGTTGTAACTCCCCACAGCTGCGCAAGGACCTCCTAGCTTACACTCTTCCACATTTTGGTCCATGACTTGGGTCACAGCTTTCTTTATAACAACAGGGTTTATTAAACTTGGAGTCAACTAAGGAACAGAAACATCATTGAAAATGTGGAACTTTTCTCTCTTACGCTCAAACCAGACGCAGCTTTTGCTCTATCATCATTAACTATGTTAACTATGCCCTTGTATTAATGTCTCCCA